AATCCAGAAGGGAAAACAAACATGGCAGCTCCTGAATCTACCATGTTCAGTAGATTCCCTTTGTGGGGTGAGGTGCCTCACAAGCAGATGTCTCCTGCCTCCTAGCTTGCCTTTTGGTTGGCAAAAGAAGGGGGACACTTATAAAGTAGAATTGCATTAAATGAGGTAACAGGAAATTGCAAGAGTGATTTTTCTCCATGTCAAAATTCCATATGTCTTCCTGGAATTATGACAATTCAGTCTTGGTCTGAACCAGACCATGAGAACCAATAACAAGGGCCTTTGTAGCAGGGTAGTGGATCACAGGGAGCCCTCTTCAGGAAGGCAGGGGGTCTGAATCCCTGTGTTCTCCCCAGGGTTGATGATAGGTTTAAAGGAAAGGCCCATGCCAGGACAAGGGAAATCAAAGAACAGAAGCCAGCCACCATCCTCTCTGCCTTCCTACTAATAGCTCCCCAATTCTTACCCAACCCTGCTCTGTTTTTTCCTCTCCCCACATATAACTAGGACCTCTTTGCAGGGCAGCCCTACCTCCCTTGAGGTCACCATTACTAGGCTCATTTTTCTCCACACTAGATGAACTTCATGCTGCGCAGATGGCTCTCAAACTTTCTCTCCGCTGCTCATCCACCTGTGTGACCTTCTCCTTTGACCTTACTCTGCCTCCCAGCTCCCTATTTTCTACCCCTTGCTCATCACTGATACTGGTCCCTTCCTCTCAACTCTAGGTGTTGCCATAGCCTAGTAGTCTATCAGTCCTTGCCCATCTCACTTCCTTTCAGAGCTGTCCGCTCTGGCTGCTGGACTCTATCCTCTAGCACCTCTCAAATCTCAGGGTCATGCATCCTGCCCTGGGACCTTTGGTTTCTCAAGTCTTTGATTTGTCACCACTGCCTGCTTCTGTGGTCTCTCACTTGTCCCAGCATCTCCTTTGCTTCAGCTAGCACTCAGCCAAACTTTTAGTTAAGAGCTTCACATTCTTTGCCTATTGCCTTTTGTGTCTCCAAATTCAACCCCATTCCCAGTCACCTCTTCCTGTATATCGGGGGGAGGGGGGTCAGGAAGTCCCTAACTGCTGCTGGGACAGGGTGCATAGCCCGGCAAGGTAGAGCTCCTACAGTGAGTCACCTCACCCTCAGTGGGCACACAGGTGTGCGTGTATCTGGTTTGAGTTCTCTTCTCTTGAGTAACTGCTGTAGACATCTGTATCATTGTCAAATCCTTATCCCCAGAACTGGCCACCTGCTTTGTCCCAAGGACCATGACCTCCTGCTTCACCTCCTGCCATCCTACCAGAAAGCTCATGAAGCCACCCCTTCCCTGTTTGCTTCTACCAGCAGAGCATCCATCTAGTTGCTAAGGCCAGCTCTTGCACTCCCAGGGTGCCTTCTCTGGATGTTAGTGCTGACCTTTTCTATTTCTCTTCCAGTACTTCAGTTGATTATGTAATCATCTGTCACCCTCCTCCCTTCCTTCTTCTCCGCTTCCTCATCTTCTGTACCTCCCTGTCTCTGTTCTTCTTTAGCATTAAAATCGGGTCAAACTTCCATCTTAAGAACTATTTTTCACCACTATCCCTACCCAAGGCCATATCTCTTCATGAGCTGCTGCCTAATTCTTCTCTTTTCTTTCAAGGCCAAGAAATCTTTTCACTGAACATCATCTGTTCTTCCATGCCATCGTGGAGCCCTTCTCTCTTTGGGTATTGGCCCCATCAGGACACTCAGTCTACTCCTGTCTGCATCACAGGTGGCTTCCTGTGGCTAATCTGCTTTTCAGAGTCTGCTAACCTTCGCAAAGTTCATCCTCCTCCAAGCTTCAGGATTTCACCATGCTGCTCCCCATTACATCCCTAATGACCCATTCTGAGCCCGCATCTCTTCTCACCCTTCTTGGATAGTTTCCACTCTTGGGTTCTTTTTATCATCTGTGCTATCTCTCAGTTTCAATTTTTTTTAGACCTGAATTCTTCCCTGTACTTAAAACCCATGTAGACTCTTTCGACTTGAAAATACCATGAGGAGATTTAAAAAAAAACAAACCTCAGCATGCCCTAGTGAAGACCCACCATTCAGACCTGCCGTTCTGTCTCAAGAGAACAAACCTCAGTACCCAGGCCCAGCCCTCAAGCATGGCATGACAGACCTCTGTCCTTTCCTTCTTCCTCACTCCCACTATAGCCGATGGCTTCTTCCTAAATCAGGCCTCTATACCTTCCTACTTCTCTCCATGCTTACTTCCCAAGCCAGGGCAGAACATCAGAGCATCTCCCTAATCCTACTGTGAATTTCCTAGCCGTGTAGAGACGTCACAGAGTCAGGCCCTGCATCTTTTCCAGTCTCCTCTGTAACGCCAAGCACAGGGGTCTACTCTGAGCAGACACTCCAGTGTTGCTGAGGGGATGAATGCTCTCCTTCCCTCCAGCTGGCCGTCTCCAGACCACTCTTCAGACTGAATGGTCACTCTGACCTTTCTCATATGGAGATTTTAAACACTGACTGAGTGAAATCTTTCACAGACTCTCCACTACCCACCATCTAAAGTCCAGTTTCCTCAGCAGGCCCATCAAAGCCTTTTCCAGCCCTGGCTTTCATCACCTTGTAGAAAACTTGTACAAACTTGCAGAGTACAGTGTGTTGTGGCATAGGAATACAGAGCCATGAAATTGGGAGAGATGGGGAAGAATTATGGAAAGGGTAACATTGATCAAGATGCATTATACTCATCAACCCATGTGTTGAATTGAAGCACCTCTGTACAACTACTTAAAGATAATTTTCTGAAAGGGCCATAGAAGCTTCACAACTCAAGTTTGGCTCCCTAATCCACTATTTCTAAATTCTATGACCTTAGATGATTGTGTAATGCCTCTATGTTTTAGGGTTCCTCTTGTTTAAACAGGGAAAATAGTACCTTGCTCTCAGTGACCAAAAGGTGAAATGAGTCAGTACACATAAAGGGCTCACAGTGGAAAATAGAAAACCTTAGGTCTGGGTCCTACCATCTGGGAGCAGGACCCAGCTCTGTCTTCCGATGCCAGGTAATGTTCACCAGGTCACCAATGCCTGAAGTGACAGTCCGGGCTTCCCAGGAACATGAGTTGTGGAGAGCATGGCTGGGGCACTGGGAGGGGCAGCCTCTGCTTGCTTCCCCATATGCACTTGTCACAGGGGCCCCTTCTTCCTTCAGAAGCCTGGAGCTCTGGGACTGGAGCAAAGGGCCCATCTTCCCTGAAATGCTTCAGAGTGTCGCCCGCCCACCTACCTGAGCATGCACAAAGGCAGCTCAGAAGATGGCTCAGCTATGATTTAGGGGGGGGAAGGTAAAGGGTGAGGCCAGGGGATGTGTGAGATGGTAGGTGGGTGAACCTGTACTCGAGATTCCTTAGATCTGGCACACGGTCATACAGATCTATACACTCAAGTGCACTTCATGACTTGTTTGACTCCAGATCTCTTCTCTGTCTCTCTGTCTCTCTGTCTTTCTGTCTCTCTATCTTTCTGTCTCTCTGTCTCTGTCTCTCTCTCTTTCTCTCTCTCTCTCTTTCTTTCTCTCTCTCTCTCTCACACACACACACACACACACTCACACACACGCACACGCACACACACTCCTCACCACAAAATGCCTTGTTCTTTCCCCTCTCCTAGGACTAGAGGTTCTGATTTTGGGAGTAACCTGAATATGACAATCAGGAGCCTGTACACATGTAATGAAGTCTGGGGCTACCCTGATCAGCCTACAGACACCCCACAGTTGTGGCAAGAAGGCTTTAAGAATCAATTCTCTGGGTCACACACAGTGACTTCAGAGCCATTGCTTCTGACAATCTAGACCAATCCACAGAAAAGTCTGGGTCCCTTTGGCTGCGGAATCCTGTGCAAGTCTGGCATACTCTGCTAATGCCTCCAGGTCCCTGTCACCCAAATGTCAAGACTCTCATAGTTATTTTGCCATCTTCCTCCTTAATGACTTCCTGTCCCTCCCACAAAATGTCTCCCTCCCAGGACATACCGCCTTCTTCATTTCATAGTACTAACTGAATGCAGCATGGTAGCTAGGGGGGTGACTGGAGGAGCTCCAAGGACATGGCCAAGGCACACTCCTTCTGGGTCCTGACAGACACTCTCATGAGGTGCCCATCACTTGGGGTCCTCCCATGGGCCCCCTACACATGGCTGACTCCACTATCACCTAGAAAAAACTTTAAAATTTAGTTACTGGGGTGGGGTGGGGGTGGGGGGTAGTGGCTCAACCTGTAATTCTAGCTGCTCAGGGGACTGAGAGCTGAGGATCTTGGTTCAAAGTCAGACTAGGCAGGAAAGTCCATGAGACTCTTACCTCCAATTAACCAACAAAAAGCCAGAACTGGATCAGTGGCTCAAGTGATAGAGAACTAACCATGAGCAAAAAACACTCAGGGACCACATCAGGCCCTGAGTTCAAGCCCCAGGATCAACACCACAAAACAAAAGTATACTTAGTGAATCATTTACTTCATTTTACTGGCTACCATTGAATGGGATGGAATGGAATAATTTAAAAAAAAAACCCTTCCTGAAACAGTGCATCTTTATCAGAAGACAGTCAGTATTGATTCCCATGTAATCTCTGGTTCATCACAAAGACCACTGCCTTGTGGTCTATGTTTGTGTTAGCCACTCAATGGACTGAATTCAACATCCATGTCAGCCAAGAAGTCTCCAAACTTTGGAACTTGTGAGGACACCTCAGACAAGTTAACCTATGAAACATGTAAACCCACCCCTCTTCCCACATCGAACATATCCCAGCATCTAGAGCCCTTTATTTGTATAGCGTGACAAACCTGTGGCTTCCTTAGACAGCACAGTATGTAAGCAGGACCCTCATCCTTGGACAAACCGTCTCCCCATGGGCTCTGTGCAGTGACTCATGGAGGGAGGGCAGTGGGTGGAGCAGCTTCAGAAGAGGAACGAAGTCACTTTTGTCTCTGTTTTCTTGTCTTCCTTGTCTTTCAGAGATCGAGCAGGGCAGTTGCGGCGACCCTGGCATACCTGCCTACGGCCGGCGGGAAGGTTCCCGCTTTCACCACGGTGACACACTCAAGTTTGAGTGCCAGCCCGCCTTTGAGCTGGTGGGGCAGAAGGCAATCACATGCCAAAAGAATAACCAGTGGTCAGCTAAGAAGCCAGTCTGTGTGTGTAAGTGAGCGGAGGTGGCTGCTGCAGAGCTCCCCCTAGAGGAGAGGCAAGCTGGTTTCCTTGGGACCACAGAGAAGGGTACCCATAGCTCCCACTCTGGTTGTTTCTCCTGTTCCTCCAAATGTGGCTGGCTGGGTCTCCATTTCTGGCAGTAACATGGTAGACTGCAGCATTGATGGTTGCTTTTGACCTTTGGGGACTTTCTTTGATGTCATCTTACTCTCCCTGTTGATCTTTAAGGGCAGGGTAGACAGACACCTGGGCATGACCCCATGAGCCTGAGACCCAAGTAAGCCTCCCCTCCCTGGTCACCACCACTGACCATGTGGGGTTGGAGGGACTGGCAGGTCTATATGGTGGTAGCCTCTGGGTGGTTCCTGGAAGGGCCTTGAAGGACATAACATTTCCCATATCGGCTGCCTTGTGTATGGGATTCGTGAAGGGATGTGGGCTCTTTCGGAAGGAGGTTGGAGTTGAGTCTCTTGCATTGAGACAGTGATGAAGCTTGTCATCCTTCCTCTTGGGCAGACTGGCCATACTTCTCAGCACACAGGATACTGGGAGTCTTAAGTCATGAAGGAGGGGAGGGAGTATGAGGAACTTATGGGTGGTAAGAGGCAGCCAGGCATGTCCTGTGTTGGGAAATCCAAAGTTGTAGCTTCTCCGGTCTCTCATCTGTTCTCCTGCTCCTTGCCACCCAACCTTCTCCAGTTCAATCCATGGGTTCCTTCCAGGGAAGGGCAGACAGCCGGCCCCTCTGATCCTTCACCTCCCTCAGTGGGCAGCTCAGGCCTTCTGAGTTCCATATGCCACAGAGAGAAGAGCCTGAGAGGCAGTTAGCATCTCTGTGAGCTTGAATGAGAGTGGGTGGTTGAGTTGGCCAGGTGGGTCATACCACAGTGCTTATGCTTTTCAAACAACAATAACAAAACACTGACTATGTCTGGCATACCATTTTTGATAACTTGTTAGTTTACTTGTGTAAAAATTCTTCAGGAGTTTAAAGATCAAATCACTCTTAAATGCACATGGAACTTAATCACCTTTATTAAAACAAAAATAACCAATTGTGTGGTATCTGCTCACTTCCCTTCTCTGCCCTCCTCCCTCCCCTGCCCCTTTATAGTTGCAGAACTGGGATTTTCCTGCCAATGTTAGCCCCACAGCATGCTGGGAGCATTAGGGACAGAAGGATCAGCAGAGTTAGAAGGGCAGCTCAAGGCCGGCAAGAACAAAGGTTCTGAGCACTGGTGAACTGAATCCAGGCAAAAGTGAACAGAACAAAAACTCTAGAGTTGCTGGCTGGAGTCAGTGTCCAAGGAGGCAAAGGTCTAGATGATTGGACCCTCAGGAACCATCTTCCTAACTTCTGAAATCTATGCAGATGAAACAAAAGCCTGAAGAGGGCCAACGAAGGTTCTAGGGTAGAGAGCCAGAAAAAATGAACAGGCAAGGGAAGCTAGCCATGTACTCAGGACCAGCACAAGGCTCCCAGGCCCCAAAAACAGAGGTATGATAGCAAGCAGAAGTCACCTAGGAGTAGGGGGTAAGAAGCACTCAGATACTCCAAGAATTCAGTGACTTTCTGCCTCTTGGGATTCGTTTTAGAATATTTTTTTCTAAAATGTTCACCAAGGGCAAGAGACCTTGAAGTACTGCTCACCAGGGTTAGATTCTAGAAGCAAGGCTGACAGACTCCAAAGAACTGGACACTGCTCATACATAGCCAAGAGAAAAGAAGATTGAGCCATCCCTGCAAGTATGGTTTGGTATTTTCTGTAGTTTCAGACAGGACCAGGGGCCTGAGGCTTGTTGGTCAGAACTGTGAAACAGATATTCTGGGGATGCTGGCATGGTGAGCGTTATAGACAATTGTGGAATGTAGAGGATGATGGCACTCTAGGCACCTCCATCACTCAACTGTGTCAGTATGCTTGTGTGGAACAGAAATCACAGCCTGAGGCTGAAGGATGTTGGCTTCAGTGGAGGAGACCAGACAACTCTCCCTGGGCCTCTGAACCACATATCAAGGTCACATGTGTGCCTCATGAATAAGAAGGACCATCATCTGTCTCTCTCTGCTTAGTACCCAATCCCTAACCTGGAGTTGTACCCTCTGAGGTCCTGGGCTTTGCCCTCCAGATGCTTGCCATCTGACCGGTAGTTAGGGGATGGTGATAAGAAAGTGTAGATACCCTGAAGTAACTTGGGGATGGTGATAAGAAAGTGTAGATACCGTGAAATAACTTGGAATTCAACATGTGAAGACCCTAATACTTGGTCCTGCCTTGACTTCCAGACTGTAGTCAGGATGTCTCCTGGATGCTGGCTTCCTAATCAATTCAACAGGGTCAAACTCCCATTTTGACTACAAAAATGCTAAGCCTCTTTGATCATATTTACAGTGAAAGATAACTGTCAGCAGTCGCCCCTATGTTTTCTGCACAAAGGGTGCTTGGAAACTGCTTCATAAAGTGGGTCATTACAAAACCGGTCATACTTTGATTTAGAGACACTTCTGCTCCAAACTCTGAATCAAAAGAAAAGAAGAAAACCATACTGTCTGATCAATAGAAAAGGTAAAGCATCTGTAAAGATCTATAAAACTATGAAAGAGTAAGGCTGTATCTGTGTATAGTAGAGTGTTCATAAGCGTACACATGAACACTTCTAGCAAAAGTTGACATAAATGGCCTGACTTTTCCCCATATCAGTCACAATAAATATTAACATTTAATATAAATATTAATTAGCAAAAAAAATTTAATGTTCTCTCCTTAGGAGTTAGAAGGCAGTAGAGAAAATTATTGTGGTAGCTCAGATGTCTTTGGAACAGTTGTCCAAAGAAGTATGAAGCAGCTCATGGTTCTTTTTCTTGAAGCATTTTCTTCAAAACAGCATCTTACTGGGGAATTGCCCTACAGAGACCACACAAGTACACACTTCCTTCATGTTTCCAAACATTCTCTGCAGCATGCAGTGACTTCAGAATCATTTCGCTAGCTTTTGAGCTGCCCTCACAGTGGTAGACAGTCTTTTTTCCATCTAGGTTGTCAGTAAGATGAGGTATCTCACAGTTCAGAGCATTTTAAAAGAAAAGATAGAGCCAACTTCTCCCTCCCACCCCTGGCCCTTCTGTCCTTCTTGGTTAATCCTCATCTTCAGGGACAAGTGCTCAGAATCAGTTAGGAAGTAGTTCTACTCTCCATCCATTCAGTGATATTTGTGAGCGTCTATTTTGTGCTAAGCCCTGGGATTTGGAATCTAAGATGTTCAGGCTCTGGCTAAGAAATTTACTCAGCCTGGCTATTCCTGAGGAGAGAACTCTGGCCAGACTGCCTGTGTTCTTCCAGAATCTCTGCTTGTTTTACCTATTACCTTATTGGAGAATGATGAGCTGCTCTCACACATCCTCACCCAGCCCCATTCCTCCCCAATAGAACTACGATGAGAGGGAGATACAAATAAGTCCGAGGGTGGTTTGTTCAATCTTTGATGCTTTGCTGACAGGCCAGCAGAGTGCTTCACACTTCATAAGGAAACCAATTATCAGTCCATTAGCAGCCACTTTCAGAAGAAGTTTCAAAACAGCCTTCGCCAGAGATGTGCCAGGGTCCACACAAAAGCTCACTTCCCTCCGCCATTTTGTAAAGCCCCATAAGAAGGTGTGAATCCTAATTGCTCTATCCTTAATATATATGGCATAGGTGTGAAATGAGAAAGCAAAGCCTCCTAGGACCTACACAGCTTGAGTTACAGTTGAGCAACTGAATCCGTAGAGGTCACAGGAGGGAGAACGTGGTCCTTGGGTGCTTAGCGATTTTACAAAACAGCTCAAGCTAGGCTTACAAGAGTTGGAAGGTAAAGGAGGTGACCCATGTAGCAGTGCTGCTAGAAATGGCTCTCCTATCATCCTTCTGTTCTTTCCCTTGGCTTCCTCCCCATCCTACCGCCTCCCACTCTGGAATTACACATACATGCGCACACACATGCACACATACACGTACACACACCCAGTCCTAGAAAAAGATAGATTGAGTTGTTGCTACATATCAGGTACTGTCTTCTCCCATGTACCATTAATAGAGTGTAGGGTTTATCAGTATCAGTACTATGGATATTTGAGGCTCAGGTAATTCTTAGTGTGGTGCCATCCTGGGCATTGCAAGATGATGTAGCACCAACCCTGTCATCTACACATTAATTGCCAGTAGCACCCACCCTACAAACCAGTTGTAACCACCCAAAACACCCCTGACTTTTCCAGATCTTGTCTGGGTGGAAGCCTCATTCTAGATAAAGAACTTGTCTTCTCTAACATGGAGACCCCAGTTGATTTGCATTGTGAGGTTATGATTAAAGCCTTAGCATTATACTGGTGCAGAAATCCAAGACAAGAGACAATGCTGGTATTTTTTTTCACACTTTATATCATTGGATGAGAAGAATCTTCCCTGCAACTTTGCAAACTATTTATAGATAAAAATTAAATTCAAGACAGAAATTTTTTTAAAAATTGAACTCAGGCTAGAATTTGAGCTGTTTGTTGACAGCAACAACGTGAACCCAAGTTTTCACTTCAAGCCTGTGCTTTTTCAATTGCACCCAATTTCTAGAATCCAGAGACTCAACTGGAGAAGCCAAGACAAGGAATTCTTAGGACAAAATACTAGGCCAGAGTTCAGAAGCACACTGTTGGCTGTGTTACCCTAGGAAGTGATGAAGTTGGACAGGAATTATATTGTGCAATTATATTGTGTACCCATGTGCAACCTACTGGGAAAGAACTTTCTCCTAGTCTTTACTTTTTATTTTCATTCAACCCAACCACTTACCTATCCATCTTGATTTTATACCTAAAGAAGCATAAGAGGGGTATGACTCTTGTTATTCAAATTCTAAACTAGAGGATCCCAGTGATAATCCCGCTGAGAGCAGATGGTTTTTAAATGCCATATCCACATTATGTGCCCTAACAGCAGATCAAGAAGCATCTGAAG